AATTATTATAGTAATTATTTATTGATTAGTAGATAAATATTAAATTTGTGGTTTAGAGATCAGTACATGGAAGATCAATTACCAGCACATTCTTGCTTAGAGCTGGTAGCCAATTCTGAACAAATATTGAGCAACTACACTAGTAGAAGATTGTTAACTTACAAGAAAGTTAAAGAACCTGAGGTAATAAGATTTAAGAAAATTTTATTAACTTTTATTTAGTTTTGATGTTATCACATCTAAAAAATATAAGGGAACACAACTGAATCCTTGCGATTTTAATAAGCTTTAATTATGTTAAAATATAGAACACATAAATAAGAGATACATTTTTTTTGTACGTGCTGAGTCATATGTTAAGGAAAATCTTGAAAAAAATCGTTTTTTTTTTCTTTCAAAGTGAATATCGTCGAAACTGAGATAGAAAAAAATATTTCAAATAAAAGTTGAATAGCGTCAAAAGTACTTTATAATCATTAAAAAATGGAAGAATTTTTTTTTAATTATAATTATAAAATACTCTTGAAACTATATATACAACTTTTATTTAAATCTTTTTTTTTATTTTAGTTTTGACGAGTCACTCTGAAGAAAAGATTTTTTTCAAAAAGAGATTTTCATCTTAACGTAATTCCGCACATAAAAAAAATATTTCTATATTTTAACATATCCAAAGCTTATTGAAATCAAGAAAGACCAATTGATTGTGTTCCTGGTTAGATAAGATTTGAGGTGTATTTTCTGTGGCTGAATTAATACACTTTTGAAACTTAAAATGAGAAAAAATAGGTATATATGTATTTGATATTTGGCGGAAACGAAAGAAATTTTCTAGTACAGTCTTTGTAAGAACAAAAAACAGATTTTGTAATAAACTAAGGATAAGATTTTTTAAATACAAAATAAGAACAATTTCTCCTTTTCAAAATTAAAATAGCTATATTCTTATTTTCTAGTAGCTTGTATGCTTTTGATATGATTAAACTATATATCAATATTTTTTAACATTTAATGACAGGCAACTGACGAGAGCATTATTATGAATTTTACTGATTTCCGTGAGAAGTATTTTGCATTACGTGAGGAAACGAGGAAGGAAAAACGAATGAGGAAAGCTGCAGAAAGAGCAAAGAGACGAGAGGAGTGGGAACGTAGTAACAAAGAAGTTACTGAAAGGTGACTGTAAATCAGTCTTATGTAGTATTATATAAAGGTACATTCTCTATTCTCTACATTTCTTCAATTTTATATATCTTTTTCTCAGTGCGAGAAGATATATAATTATTCAAAATTATTTATCAAAATGTGACTATCTAATTTTGCAATTCTTGTTTATTATGTACAGAATAGTTGTAAAAGTTGAAAACAAAACTAACTATTGCAATGATTTAGAAATAAATATTTTTTGCATACATGATCCTATCCATTCAACGTCGTTTTTTATTACATTATATGTAAGATATACCGATACCTAAATAACAATGAAATAACGATGACATTAAATGAATTACAAAGAGTGATCGCTAAATCGATAATTTTAACATTTACTTAATAACATATATATAATAAGGTATGGAAATACGAATGTATATTCAGAAGATAATTACGTATGGTGCACTTAAAATTCGAGAATGGTATTAATAGAGATTGGTATTAATAGAGTAATTAATTAATATATCAACATACAATTGTACATAGATATTGGCAAAATTACCTGGAACAAGACAAAATTACCTAGAGCGTGATGTACATATATTACGTAACGAATAGAATTACAAAATACTGTTCGAATATCCTGATTAGATTTTGTTAACTACACAGAGTTAAAAAATGTGTCTAAAAGCTCTTCAGTAAATTCTTCGGAAATCGTTATTGCAATGTCTTTAAACACATATCGCTTACATATGTTTCTCACAAAATTAAAATAAATACAAGAATAATTATAATACCTAAGCTTCAAGTTGTAATTGTCCTAGTAAACGTTCTATGTTTTTAACGTCCTCATTTGCAACTTTACTTTCATATTGTTTCTCAATTTGTCTACTAGTCCATTCACTCAATTTCATTGCTTCCTTCTTCTTAGATGAAGGACATTTAGGCGATGTTGCAATATTATTTGTTGTCTGAAATTAGATATTTGTAAGAATATAAATACTCTTCATAATTGTTATGTAGCATTATAATATAATAATGGGACTTACTAATAACAAGCCATATAAAGCTCTAATATTATTTGGATTTAATTTCGCAGCTTGGCAGAAGTATGCTTTTGCTAGTTCCATGTTATCAAATCCACCCTATATAATAAAGCATTACTTGTATAATTTTCTTTTTACATTTTACATTAACAAATATCTAAAAATATCTAATGTATATTATTAATTTAGTGAACTTTTATTAATCTAACAAGGGGAACATTAGATATAGGCCCTTCTAATTAGGCTAAATTTGATATATCTATATAATAATTTAATCTTCCAACTAATTCTTGCTAAAATTATAGAGTATGTTTTTTAAAACGCGTTTAAAAATTTTCTTGTGTGGTAATGTAAATTTTTTAATGTTGTTTTCGTAAATGTTTAAGAAGCGTTTTTTATATTTTTATTCTGTAATTTTGACACGAATTAGTGGAAGGTCTGAATTATTGCATATATAAAATTTAGCTAAATTGTTGATTTTGATGTTGGAGGAATAATCAGCCATGGCCTCTCCCGATTTAGCTAAATTTTACAAAAAGAGAAAAATGCGTAAAAAAAATATATTACCAAATATTATATTACCAATACATAAATTTTTAAATTTTTACGTTTTCCTCAGGAATGCTTGAGTGCGTTCTATAATTTTATTTATATTTTTTGAATTAATAAAATTAATAGAAAGACTGAATTATTATAGACAACAAAATTGAGACATATTCTGGTATTCTCCTTGTAAGTAAATTAATATAATTATCATCATAAAAAATATCATAAAATATTAGATATACATACCTGAGAATATTTTATTTCTGCATATCTTTGGTAAATTAAATGACTGTGTGGATTGTGCAATATAAGTTCTTCCATACAATAAGCTGCTTTAGAATATTCTTGTTCTTGTAAATATAAATCACATAACTCGTGCCATGCTTCTTGATCGCTCATAAATCTAAACAATGATTTAGTATATAATATTACTAATACATAATTTAGAAAACTTTTTTATAAAACTTTTAAAATATATGCATTTATATATAAATGTATGTTAAAATAATACCTTTTCAGATATTCTGTAAGCTCTTTGATTGCTTCTGGAATGCGTCCTCGAGCTTTCAAAATAGCAACACGACGTTTTCTTGGTGCAGCATTGGTTTCATCTCTTTTTATGATAGAATCCAAAACTTCCATTGCCTCATCATACCTAGAAAAAATCAATTGATAGAGCATTAAGATAAATATTATTGCATATTTTTACATACTTGATGATATATATAATTACATTTCTAATGCTTCTAAATGCATAGCATGGTACTTGTGAACACGCAAGCTGCCAGGAAAGGCACGCATTAAAATTTTGATGCAGTATTCAGCTAATGGTAGTCGGTAACAATCCAATGCGGCTACACATACTTGTTCCAGAATCAGATATTCTGAACAATGAAAAATAAAATATATATTCGTGACATGCATATAATTTTTTGATAATTTTAAGAATAAAAAAATATGTATTGATAGAATACTTTCATTGCCCAAACGATCAATCTTTCCCATCAAAGTATTTTCCCAGAAATCTACTACATCTTTACTTCGTCGCTCGGAATCTTCCCTCCAAGTTCTCAATAAATCCCTTACTTCTGTATAACAAAAATATGTACAAAGTCATTAGAAGCACACAAAAATTCTAATGGTGAAATATTACTGATTTTAATAAAATAATTTACACAAAATAATATTCTTAGAAAATTATTAATTTTTTTAAATATTTTAATGTCCAACATAAATTCATAAATAATAGAACATATATAATTAAAATATCAAACAAAATAAAATATACATATGCAATAATATTAAAATTAATATATCAAAATGTAAATTAGAAATACGTCAACAGTATCAAATTTTTATCAACATAATGACTCAGCAAATTTTTTACAAGTTTCTCAACATTAAGATTACTTGATAACATAGAATATTTATTTTTAAAAAAATTATATACTTAAATATATTATTATGATATTTTTTAAAGAATATGTTCAAAGAATAAATATTTATTTTACAATTACACATGATGAGATAACGTTAACTGTCACATGACAGAAAGATTCACCTGTCCAGGACAGCTTGTCGTAACATCCTGCCATCGCTTTGTAAAACAAGGAAATCTATTTAGGCGAATAAATAAAGTGCACGATAAAAATTTTTGTCACGCACTGCTCTGGACTATTTTAGAGGTTATGCAATGTGGCATGTAGCGCCCATGATACACAGTGTAAACATTATCGGATTAAACACATTCGTAAAAACAAAGAAAAATTAATCCTTTCCACTTTCTTGTAAAAAAAAGGGCACATCAACGTAATTTGAAATCGCACTAAGCAATAGCGTCTCGATTTCTTTACACTTGACAGCGTAGAAGATAATTTATGCTAAATAATGATAAATAATGATCATGAAGGGGAGTGTGAGAAAGAAGGGATGACAGCTTATTCACTTCCGTTACACATACAAGAATTTGGGGACTGCTAGTTGACGATTACAAGTTCATGAAATTATTAAGGTCTTGCGCACAATAAAGAAAATATTAGGTATAGAAATATATTAAGATTTTAACCTATCAGAAATTGGTTACATCGGAATACACAATTTTTGATAGGTTAAAACCTAAATATTTATTTTTAATATTTCTTCTATTATGTACAGGACCTAATGTTCGTATCACACTAGCAATTGAAGATGGCGTCTGCGTCGTCTGCGACATCTGCATCCGCATTCACGTTTCTTGACCAATCAAAAAAGAACTGGGGATCAATTCTCTATCTTGAAACGAGAGCTGTGGTCAAAGGTTTCGCTACAATGTTTGATGGACCAATTACAAGAAAGAATTTTACAAACTGACCAATTAAAAAACGCTTCAGCAAAGCATTTACAACATCGTATTGATCATAACTGAGGTGAAAATTATAAAAGTGAGCAAATTTGCTAAATGTTGACCAATGTTGAAATTATTAATATTCTAGAAAAATTCGCTCACTTTTGTAATTTTCACTTCGTTTCAAGATACAGAATTCGATTTTTTGCTGATAGTGCTGGTCAATAACTTCTTTTTGATTAATTAAAACTATCTTCAAAGGATGTATTCCGTTTCACGCATGACCTCGGATCTACTAATAAATTTTTAAGCTTAAGTTATAAGGAATAGACGAATCACAATCAATTATTCTCCTCGCATTTGATTGTAATTGGTCAATTTTTTACAGCTTAAAACACTATTGTAGATCCAGACTAAGGCCCGATTGCACCAACTTTACTTTGATTTTAAGTGAAGCTTAAAACTGTCTCTATCTCTTTCAGCTTTAAAAAGAGAAACTGACAGTTTCCTTTAATCCTTGCTTAAAATTAAAGTATAATGATACAATCAGGCTTAAAACTAGGTCCTAGAGTCTGTTTCACGCTGATCAAGCTTACTCATTAACTGTCAACCGCAATTGGTCAATTCTACTAAACAGCAAACGCAATTGGTCAGTCAACGGTCGACTAAACTAATTAACGTTGATGAATTTGGCTCTTATAGATCCAGACTGATGTGCATAATGGCTGCATTCAGCGGACTCAACAGTTGAGTGAGCGCTCGCTATTATTGATGTATTCTTTTAGATCATCTAATCAGCATTTTAGATCTAGAAGAATATATCAATAGCAGCGAGTGCTCACTCAACTGTTTGAATCCGTTGAACGCAGCTATAGTATTTTTTATTTTTATTTGACATTCAGTGAACAACAAAGATAAAAGCCAGTTTTACTAATGCCAGTTAGCTTAATCGGCCGTTAACTGACCAATTGTGTTTGCTGTTTAATAGAATCGACCAATTGCGGTTAATAGTTAATCACGATTGAGATTGATCGATGTTGGTGAAACTGATCTTTAAGATTTAAAGTCTATTCTACAATGTGCTTTTTGTCTCCTGTTTTTTGCTTTTTGCTATTTATTGTATCTTGCCTGTATTGTATCTTACCTTTTTACTTCTTATCCCGTTTTTCTGTTGCTCGAGATAAATGTTAACGAACTTCAGAAGAAAACATATATCAAGAAATATAATTGTTGATAAAACACATCACAAAGAGGAAAAAAGCAAAAGGTAAAAAAGTCTTCTACATTGTAGAACAACCGTATAACACTTATTGTAGATCCGCACTAAAAAAAATTATTCAATTATTCGTATTTCTCTTATAAAGTTGCACGTAAAATGTGATTGGATAATTTTCTTTATATATATGTTTATACGGCTATGATAGTTGTGTGAATATACCTTGTGTGAATATACCTTGGCAGCTTTCCAGCAGAAATACAAATCGACACAATCATTCCGACTTTGTTCCTTACTGATTATTGAACAAGGACAAAATAAAGCTAGTCTCACACTTTCAGTAACAGTAAGATTTTCGATCAATCATGTTGCTCGATTGTTACGGTTATGATTATGGACGAATCGAGCAACGCAATTGATCGAAAACCTATGTTACGTTTACTGTTGCGGAAAGTTTGTGTGATTAGCTTAAAGCTCATTCTACATTAAACGTAAGCCGATCACAAGCTTGTTGCGACAGCCAATCTGAAACATTGATTTCAAAATGCAAGCTTTGACTGTCGCAACATGCTTGTGAGTAAAGCCGATTCTACATTAGTTACAAGTTTGTTGCGACAGCCAATCTGAAATTTTCATTTTGAAATCAACACTTCATTGATGATTGCAACAAACTTGCAACTAATGTAGAATCAGTTTAATGTAGAATGGGCTTGACTTTTGTATTAATTTGTGTTTCTTGCTGGAAAGCTCTTACGAATACCGTCTCTGTCTTTCCTTCGCGATGCGTGACATGCTCAGTGGAAACGCACCTTAATGTCGGCTGCAGATCAGCGCGATGTGTTCGTCACTTGCGACATACGATATCCAATGAACGTATAGCTTTAGAATGAAAACATTAGTGAAATTATAGATTTTATTGAGGATTCTGGAAGAATACATCAATGGCTGCGTTCAGCGGACTCAACAGTTGAGCTCGCTTATTGATGTATTCTCTTAGCTCATCCAATCAGAATTTTAGATCTAGAAGAATATATCAATAGCAGCGAGCGCTTACTTAACTGGTGTGTCTGCTGATGCGTCCAATGATAGCTCAGCTTTTTTTCACATGACGAAAGCAGAGTTCTCATTGGATATCACTCGTCGCTCATCGTTCATCGCGTCCAATAGGCACAATGCAAATAGACAATTTTTGTGACTATTAATGAAGATTGAGAAGTTCGATGATAATTGAAAAACGAAGATATTATCGATAATTAATAAAAAATTTTAATTATTAACATAAATATTTGGATAATGCATTATTGAATTCATGATTTTTTATATAAATATGCATAAATAAGTATTTTTAATGCTATAATATTTTATATATTGCTGAAAAATTATAATTTTTTTCTTTACAATTATCTCTATTAATAAGATAATCAAACTCGGATAATAACATTAAAATCACACTTTTAAATAAAAATTGGGTTTTATTAAGTTTAAAAGATACATGTCTATAAAATTAATAAATCATAAAATTAGTATTATATTATTAAATTTTAGCAATCACGCAATCTTTCGTAAGACTGTCTTTAATAGTATCTCGTCGGCGATACTGACCATTGTTACCTTAATGTTTTGAAATTTACCGCTACGTATTTTATATTTTATCTAAAAATGGCAATTTCCGAATACTCGCGACACGTTTATTTCACCTACTCTAGTCTCGGTACTCTAGTCTCTCGGTACTAATGGAAACAGGTGTCACACTGTGTCACACACATAAACGTAATCTCCTCGAATGCATGAGGCATGAGGAGAGCTGATGAAAGCGTCGTGGGTGGTAAGACGGTAGGGAGCGCCACATGTCAGTCCATAGCCCCTCTGGTAGCTCTTGTCGCTCCCGTTCCCAGACGGAATTATCATCGTCCGTCGCTGTTTTCTGTTGTGTTTTTGGGGCTGGGACTGTGCGGTCGAAGGGGGATAAAGAAAGGAGACATGCCATCGCGATAATCGCTTTGTGAAGGAGGTAACGGTATGGATGAACGAGTGTGGCGGCGAGTGGCCCCGAAGTGATCGCCGATCGCGCTGCGCGTCCCAACACGCGTCCGTCCGTCCGTCGTCACGTCGTGCGTCGGCCGCGCCGCGTGCAGGCAGGTGTAATTTAATAAGCGCAGGCAGGCTGGGGAGGCTGGTGGCTGGCTGGCGATTTAACAGGATATCGATTTGTCTGGTGGCGGCGAGTCAGTGCCGCCGCCACCGCCACCGTTGTCGCCGCCACTGCCGTTGCTGCTCGCGGCACACCGCACACAAGACACGCAGCACCGCGTACGGCTGTCAGGCGTTACGGGAACAGCCATGGATGTCGATATTTTTGGGGCACAGCGGTGTGCAGCTGTGCCGTGTGCGTGTGCGACCGCGTGCCCGATAGGCGACGAGATGTGACGCGAGACGACCGCCCCGGCGACGATTATTCCGTTTCAACACGTAGAGAGGAGCGTGGCCAGTACGGGCAGAGAAAGAGAAGAGGGAGAGAGAGAAAAAAAGAGAGAGATACACGCATACACACACGGACAACGCGATTGCGATCGGTTGAACGAGAAGCGAGAAGCGGATGCCTACATACGATAAGGTCCGTTTGTTGTGTTGGTTCATTATACGTCGCGTGGAACGCTCTTCTTCTACTAGAGTCGCCGCAATTCGATTGTACGTATAAAGTTGATCGCCGACCCATAGGTAACAATGGAGCTCAATGGTACGGGAACATCCGTCGGGGCCATGGCCTGTCCCGTGTGTACCCTGTATTTACGCGAGGGCATCAGTTTGCAGAAGCATTTGGATACTCATCCCAAGGAACAGGTTATAGATGCTCTCATCAAAGCCAGTACCCCTTCGTTACAGACGCAACAGCAACAGCAGCACCAGCAGCAACAGCAGCAGCAGCAGCAGCAGCAACAGCAGCAGCAGCAGCAGCAGCAGCAGCAGCAGCAACAGCATGCTTTATCAGCATCAGCAGCAACATCATTACCATTATCACTGCAGGCACAAGCTGCACTTCAGACTCCTACCTCCATCCAGACGCCCCATACGTCCTCCCAAGTCTCGCAGAACGCGCATATTTCTACTCACTCTCCATATCCTGTAGGACCCATTTTTGAATGTCCACCCATAAGTACCATGATGCCACCGCAGTTCACCTCATTCAGCTATCAGCAATTCGTGAACAATGGGACCATGATGATACCACAGTACGCGATGGCGCCGCAAGCCAATCAAATGATGCAGATGCTGTACAATCCATACGGTATGTACCAACAGCAAATACCCACCGTCCAAATGATCTCACCAGTTGCAGCTGTTCTTGGCGCAACGACAAGGATTCGGCCAGTGGTTACTATAGCTGGTGAGAGCAACGTCAGAACACTGACGGTTCCTGTAAATAGTCCCGAGCCGAAACAGATTCTACCTGAGATTTTGCCGGAGACGGATACCGAATCAGGACAAGTTATTCCGGATGTAAGTCTCTCGGTATCGCCCGTGCTGCACAACGAGGATACATCCATCAGAGTGAGGGAAGAGAGCGACAACAGCGCGCTGTCAATCGATCACCGGGGACAGCAAGCACAGAGTTCTATATCACCCGACGATAGCACCGTACACGAATACAATGCTATTTCTAGATCTATTACAATTTCTTGCGCTATTGATAACACTGATGAGAAAGTGGAGAGTGTATTACCAGATATGGTAGACGATGAGCCATCAAATAATATTTCGACCACAGACTTACAATGTAAATCTGCAACATACGAGCAACCAGAAACACAACAGTTTACACAGCAGGTCATCGAAGAGGGATACGTGAATGTATCCGATAGAATGACACCCACAATTGACATTGAATCTGTGGCTTGTGAACATGATTCGGAAATGATATGTGACAATAGAACCGCAAGTCGCAGCAGCAACGTGAACGATAATGTTGAATCACCGCAGGATCTAGTAGCAATAGATACGTTGAAAGACTCTGTTCAATCCGAGTTTAACTCTTCAGAAAAATTAGAGAATTTAATAACCATAATGGAGACGGAGCTCAATAATGCTTCTCTTCAGAAAGAAAATGATATACAAAATGATCAAGAAAAATTGGCGGACCCGAAAGAAAAAACCACTGTAGATAGGGAAGAGAGCGTGATTCACGATACAGTAGTCATTCCGGATTCCCACGAGAAGGATCACATATTGTCGGACGTGCAGGAAGGGGACAAGTGGGACTCGAGCAATTCCTTGACTAACGAACTGAGATTGTTAGAAAAAACTTATTCGCCACATACAATAGACTGTTTGAAAATGAATGAAGCGCTGGATAGACTGCAAAGAACTTTTCATTCTAATAATTATAAATATAGTTTTTCAGCTCCTGCGTCTCCAGTCGCGAGAAGGAAGAGCCGCAAGGTCCGTCGTTATAACTCGCGATCGGAACATGGGTCGTGCGAGAATCTTAGTGTGTATCGTCTCCGTGCTGATTTTGATGACACCGCGGCCATGCACGACGACGACGATGACGAAGACGATGACGAGGACGACGAGGATGTTGATGAGGACGAGAAGATCGACGAGGAGGACAATTTTGACGAGGCGGACATGGAGATTGAAGAGATTCCCAGTCCTCACACACCTTTCGCGGATTGTGGCGTGAGATCGCACACCCCATTGTCCACCATCAGTGGTATTTCCGTGTTAAGAGTTAGAAAGGATCTCAGCAAGCCATGCTCACCCACGTCCATGCATTCGTTTCATCACGTGGACAGCGATAGCGCAACTCACGACGAGGATAGTAACGGCGTAGGTAATGTCACAGAAAAAGATCCGATCGACTGTTCACAGATAGACGAGGAGAAAATTAAGACTGATAATCAGCGTCAGGAGACGCAGGTGGCGGTGTGCGAAAGTGTCGCAAAGATTCAAGAATCGAGCAGCAGTTACGCGTATCATCAATCAGTGATAACCGAACACATTAGTTCATTTCCCGTGATACATTCACAATCATCCGTCTTGATGCACGAGTCATATTCCATTACGACCAGCACCAAGACTCAAAACCTCTTGAATCTCTCCGAATCAATAAATCCCACAACCAGTACCGAATCCAGAAGCTTTCACTCCGCCAAATCATTGATGCCGAAGCAATCGATGGAACTGCTCAATATAAATGAAGATGCTCACGCTGGGCCAATGAATGTCTTTGAATTCGACGGACTGCAAATATTAGTTCCTAGTACATTTATAAGTGACTCGTCCCAGAAAGCGGTGAGTGCGACCAGCCAGCAATCTATGGCAAGTAGCGAGGGTGCAATAGGTATCGACGAGGAGGTGAAGAGTATTAATATGCGTGCCGATGAGACTATGCCGCCTAGGGGCGAATTATCAGAACAAGAGAGTAATGGATGCACGGAGCAGTCCGCATGGCAGGTTTGTAATGTACTTTTCTTGATGTTTTTATATACAGATTCTTTGTATATACAGTTTTTTATTTGCATATTTATTACTATTTACACAATTCGGCATTTGCAATCATCTATTTGTAAAGATGTAGCGTAATGTTTTGACTCATAACTGCAGATTTTTTTAATGTACATGTAATAAAAAAAACAACATATAAAAGGAATTTTTTAATTTATATTTATTTTGTGACGAATATTATGATTAAAATATTTATTATTAAATTGATTCTTCTACAGTTATTAAAATATGCTGAGTTATGTCTACATACAACACCAATTATTAAAAGGAACAATACTGTTATGTATTTTATTGCATTATTCTTTTAAAATTATTGTGAAATTGTTGTGAAGTTATTGATATTCTAACTGTTATCGCTTTATCGATATTATTATAAAATTGTCGCATTTAAATGTTTTGTTATTTGTTTTTATTATGTAATATAATATAGAATTGTATAGCTGAAAAATATTAATAAAATTATATTACAAAATTATGTTACAGTACTGTTATATGATAATTTGTACACACACACACACACACACACACACACACACACACACACACACACACACACACACACACACATATATTACATAAAACAAATATAGCTAAATTAAAAGTTGTGCAAGTTAAATAGTGATAAACCTAATAATACAGACAAATGTAAAATCTTTTGTTATCATTCATAATTAAAAAATGACAATGAATGTGTGTGTGTGTGTGTGTGTGTTTTGATTATTTGCGTAATCAATTATATAAAATTCGTGTGTCTAAAACGCATTTTTACTGTATAGTTGTACATGGGTCAAGAATCTTCGCGTATGTCCACCTCTTACGATCTGTTGGCTCGAGAAAGCTGGGAAGAATCAGAAGGATCCGATAACGAGATCAGCGGGCCATTATTGGACAGTAGATCGTTGGCCACACACTTTACTTCGAGTTTGTTTCTGGATCGAGATCGGAAGACACCGACCAAACGAACATTCAAGTGTTCCCACTGTAGCGAAGTGTTTGATTGTCCGAAGGAACGTAGAGTTCATAGCACAACGGTGCATAAGGATGCAATGCCCAGTAGTAGTAGAGATCAGTTGGATCAACCAGAAGTAAAGGACATTAAGTTGCTGGATAGTCGCATGAATATGTTCGACGATATATTTATGCCGAGTATACATATGCAACAGCACATGTATCATCATCAGCAACCGATGTTGCACCAACTGCAGCCACCGTCACAGCCTGGATCGGACGGTTTGACGAAGGCCGAGGCCGACCAGAAGATCGGCGAAAATCTAGTGATACCGTCGAATATTGAGGTGGTCTGCACGATATGCAATCAGCGATTCAATAGCGAGAAGTCTCTGCAGGCGCATCACCGACGCATGCATATCGCCGACGTGAACAAACGCATACGCGAGACCGCCAAGTGTCAGATATGTAACGAGGAATTTCCATCAGTGTTCCTGTTCAACGCTCATTTGAAGATACATCCATTAGAGTGCGGACAGTGTGGCAAGTATTTTTATCGCAAGCAGAACTTCAAACTTCACATGAAACGTCACCTGGGCATCAAACCGTTCCCATGTACCGTGTGTGACAAGGCGTTTCTCACTAAGCAAAAACTAGAGGAGCACACCAATGGCCACACTGGCAACGCACCCGTCAGGTGTAGTCTGTGCAATGAAACTTTCCGTAGATATTCGAATTTGACCCAGCACAAAAATAGGCATCACCTTAATATCAAGAAGAAACTTAAAGATTACATATGCCACTGCGGCGAAGTATTCCACACGAAGAAGAAGCTTGCCTGGCACAAGGAGACGCACGATGAAAAGCCCAAGGCGTGCACGTATTGCAATGAGCGATTTATCCACATGGCTAGCCTAACACGTCATATGCGTCGCGCCCACAATCGCCGATTCGTTCCCGACGCTCAGCGCGAAAGCGAGAACGTCGAGTGCCCGATCTGCAAGTGTATTTACTTGCGATCGTCGCTGGCGGTACATATGCGTGTGCACAACGGCGAGCGGCCATATGAGTGTCAGGTCTGCTCCAAAGCGTTCAGCACCAAGTGGAATCTGCAGCTACACAAGTGGACGCATGCAGCGCGCAGCACCAAACCGTTCAAATGTAATCAATGCAGCGCGGCATTCTACCGTCATAGCGACTACACGGCGCACATGAATTCTCATCGGAACGTGCGGCCATACACGTGCAACTACTGCGGCGCGCAATTCATTCGCAAGTACAACTGTCTACGACACGTGAAGGAACACGAGGAGAACAAAGCGTACACGTGCGATGTGTGCAACAAGACCTTCCATCGCTCGTACTATCTCAAAGAGCATTTGCGGGTGCACTCGGGTGCGCGGCCATATACATGTCACATCTGCGGCAAGTCCAGTGGCACCAAATCCAATCACAACAAGCACGTGCGAATTCATCACGCGCGCGAGCCTGTAAATACCGAGAATTGAATAAGAATCCAGATCATCTATCGTTCTGCCATGTTCATTTGGCGCTCTCATTGTTGCAATCGGGACGAGTTGAACGACTCAGCGCGATCGCTCGCGCTGTACTTATAGCGAGATTACAGCGTACAGTTCTCAGAAAACTGGAACTATACTTTTACATTTTGATCGAGTATTGATGGAATATATGGATATATTGACGAGTTTTTCCCAGGACCACGATGTAAGAATACAAGGTGCTTTTACTCACATTTCTACTAGAAAATTGCGATCAAACTGGGGAAGTTAAGACATAAAATGGCATATTGATCTTAGTACCTCATCTACAATACAAAGCTTTTTGTATGAGGTATATTTACTAATACTACTATTTAGTATTATAGTAGTTTAACCATATGCTACCTTGTGTTTAAATGCATAACATCCTCAGGAAAATCACAGTTATTTAATGTTTTTTTTTTTACGTGAGTAAAAATATCTGCTCTTATATATATCCGTGCTTCACGCTCCGTGGACGCTTTTCCACGTGCCTGTGGCATGTTAGAAACTGAACTCGTCGAAGTTGTAACAACAGTGTTAATCCTAGTTTTGAACCGGTTTTCGAACTGGCTTGGTTCAACTTGAATTCTATGTGGGACAGTTACGCTAACTGGTTAGCAATTCGCTGTCCTCTTCTAAATTATATAGCTACAATTACCGTCGGTACTACGAAATTTAGTTAAGATTATTTAGCGCCGATCGACGTACAGATAACGGCAATCGACGTTTCCATTGTACTCGATTGGAGAGACACGTACGCGTGTTCACAGAGGAAAATATTTAACGAATATGTACGGCTGTACGCGTATACACGCAGATGACAATGAAAACAATTAAGTCGTAACGGTATTCGAGTGCTGAGTCTAAAGCACTGGGTCTACTGTTAAAGAGTTTTTATTCGATTTCGTATATACGAGTATACACTATGTTACACGCGCCGTACATTTTTAATATTATACTGTGAAGGTACATGAATTTTTTATATATCCGAAAGTGTCTTATGGTAACACTTTAAGCATTGCCATACGTAGAATAATTCGGACATTAACTTTGTCGTCCGTGTCATTTAATTCTATACAAGTAAATCTTTATCTTATCTAAAGTCTTCTTTTTTCCTTTTTTTGATCAAATTGCTATCAAGTAACTGTTGCATCATTATTAAATTTTTTGTTAATGAATATGAAGTATTTTTTTTTATTTCTAAGAAATTCATTAATATACCGTCTTCTGCATATGATGTTTAAATTATGTTAAAATGTGATTTAGTTCAATTTAACATAAAGCACTTAAAAAGGAAGAAAAGGAAAAAAATCCATAGATATCCAAGCATTTAAAGTCAGAGTTGAAAATATGTTAAAATATTTTAAGCAGTTTAAAACATGCTGTTGTTTTAAACATGTTTTTTTAATAATACTGTTTAAAGCATATATTTGAAGCATTAAAAACATATTTAAGAAGAAACAATTTTATTCTTAAAAAAAAAACATTAGTCTTTGCCAACATTGTTTAAGACTATTGCATGCAAGTATTTTAAAGATTTCTTTGTTTTATAACAATTTCGATATTTCTCAAAAAATATGATGTGTACATATACATTAATTATATTATCCCGGCAATGTATTCCAATACATTGTCGAGGTAATTGTATTGCAACACATTGTAATTATTTATATTTATTTATTATATTAGAAAAAAAACAAAAACTGAACAAATGTTTCATATACAATTTATATAAGGTAAATGTCTCAGAAATTGGATGTTTAAACATAAGTTGTCATAAATAATACAATTTATAGTATTAGAAAGATTTTTGTATAATATAAATACTTATATTCGTTTGTCAACTCAAAACTCCCTTAAGCAAGGAAAAATTATAACTTC